TCCACAGCACAAGCTGTTGCAAGGCAAGAGGTTGCCCTGCAGAATCCTGAAAGATTGAACCCAAGACCGCAGGGCATTTCTACTAGTAGCAAGGACGCTACTAGTAGCTCCTGGCATTATGACTAGTAACAAGACGCTACGAGTAACAAGGTGCATCGCTATTAGCAAGGACGCTACTAGTAGCTATGTCCCTATTTCATCACCCCAGCCCCCAAAAATCAATTCCAGGACGTCTCACCGCCCCTTTCCATGAAACTATTGGGCTTTTGTTCTTTGGTGAAACGGTACCGGTTTGTGCCCCCTTTTTTTGCTCTCTTGTCAAGATCGCCAAACAAGATGATCAAACAAGAAAGAGGATGCCAATGGCATGGAAATCAAAAGATGCCGAAAGAACTCCTTCAGGCGTGCCCTTCGTCGTGGCCATGACCCCTCGAAGGTCTCAACTGCAATTGGATGGCTCAGATTGTTTAGTGTGTCAAGGTCCACTTGCAAGAAGGCATACGATGCCACCCAACAAAAGGGTCACCACGTGGTCACCACTAGGAATTCACTAGGAATTCAGCTGCATCATGTGAAACGGACAGCGCCTATCACACATTGAGTGAAGCACGAACCTCCCGTGGAGACTCCCGTGGCACCAGAGACGAGGTGTGTTTTCACACTGAGCACGTGGGTTCCCGAAGAGACTCTCAATGCCATGGCCCAGACACGACCCATGGGACTGCCATGTCGGACTGCCGAGAAACGGCCAGGGGTGGTGCCAGAGGGGTCAATGGGGCGGCATATATATATATATGGCAGTCTCATGGAGTGTTTGGGTGGTGCAGTGGGTCTTTGGATATATGATTCGCACGTGGGTATGTTCATGACCAGCAAGCAATGTGGTTGGAGTTGTGGTTGGTTTTATGTCGGTGTAGTGTATAGAGGCTAAGTGAGATCCCCCAAGGCGTTCCTTTTTCTTACTGTTTCAGCATTTCACGCATGTGGGGCCCAGGTGGGGGAACTATGGCACCGTCCGTTTGCTTCAGAAGCCGTTCACGCCTGCGTCAACCGTTGACCTTCCTGAGGAGAAGGAAGAGCAGCGCGCGAAGGTCAGATATACCATGAATCTCCCCAAGTGCGAAGGCTCGCTGCATTCGGTTCCACTCCTGAGGTAGCCAGTGACCTGAACTAGGACCCTACAGGATGCTTTCGTACTGTATATCATCATTCAGTGACCTGAACTAGGACCCTACAGGGGCCTATAGGATAGTCTAGTTCGGGTTCTGACCCACCTTTGCTGGCTCGTCAATACTCGAGTTGCGGGCCGGGTTGGATCCACCCGGCCCGGGCCCGGTCGAGAGGTCGAGAGCGCGGGGTGATGGTCGGCAACAGGCCATAGAGGTACCGTTTACGGGTCTGCCCGTTCTCACCTCTAACAGTCAATAAACTTAGGACTTACCTTACCTGTCTCTCATCTCACTTTGGGCCTTAACTCCCATGTGACTCTCTGTGTCATGTGTGGCACCTGGGTGGCACCTGTCAGAGTCCATCAACCAACGAGTTCTGAGGTCAGCCCGGCATGGCTGACCCCACACCGATCACTGGATATCAGATGATATAAGTAAATAAGTAGCACAAGATGGTCTGGCAAGTTCAGAATACCAATGAGAGAGAGAGAGAGAAAAAAAAAAAAAAGAAAAAGAAAAGAAAAGAAACAACATTTAAGCTACGTCCCCAGTTCGACTACAGTCCACCACAAACATACCACCTCTCAGTTTCCATTTTCGAGGCATTCACTGGATTTGCTGGGAGGGGTATGGTGTATGACTCCACTTGAGAAGCTTCGTGAACTGACAGCCGGGATGAAGAGAGGTCAAAACAACGAGCGGCCAGCGGCTCAGACGCTGCTTCTACCGCTGTAGGTGGCCTCTACTGGCAGCCCAACATCCATTATATCCCTGCCACTGGGCAGTGGAACGTGCTCGCCACCGTGCGTCGTCGCCCGTCGCCGCCCAAAGGGGTCGTTGAGGGTTCGTCCCGGGTGAAAGACCACCCCCCTTTGGTGCGAACTTACCCTACACCTCCTAAGTGCCTCCTCAGGTTCGGTATGACTGGACCCGAACATGGCACCCACCCCAGTCCCACCTTCGAAACGAAGGTACGACTGGATGCCAGGGGTTAGTGAGTCAGGCGAACTTCGTTGCAAACAACGGCGGCTTTTGCAGACTATTGATACCCAGCGGGCGCGGCGCACACCACCGCGATCTGGGCATTCGGGAGACCACGACTTATGGGTTTGGCCTATGATCCCTTCGGGGTCGTTGTTTGGGAGGCCTCCGTATTTCAATACACGCCCGATCCGTGAACTCGCAGTAAGCCACTGTAACTATAATCAGCACTGGGCGCAGAGGGGTCTACAGTTGCACCAGCTATAGCCTGAAAATTGATTGCTGCTCCCGTGCATTGGAGTGGTTCATTGGCTGTCTCCCAATATATCAATCTAAGTCCCAGATGCGAAAAGTCCCAAACATGGTTGAATGACGCCATTGGGCGATAGCCAGAGCTGAAGTTCATGTGTTTCTTTGTGAGTTTGGCTCTTTGAATTCAACTCATTTTGACTTTGAGCCCGCTCCCAGAGGTTCAAACATCTCGATTTGGAGGATGTGCTTCCATGTGGCCACACATGTGGTTTCCACACCCGCAAGAGAGGAGTGATGAACGGACGCTTCTTTGACGTTCCAAAGAGCATTAACAAAATGCTTTCGTGGTGTCAAATCCTTGGTAAAACAAAGGTTGCTTGGCAAAGCCTATTTAAATAGTATCGTCAAAATAGACCTCGTTTTTGGGGGGTCGTGCACCAAAACTCTAGCTCATGGTTTCGATTCCACGGCGAAAACGGCGGGCCACCCAAAACGGCGTCCATCCCGAGTGCACACGGCCCTTGGCCCTTCAAGGCGTCCATCAAGTTCGGTGATCAGGGTGAGGTCATCGTCACGGGGGGCCCACCCCCAGATGCCAAGGCGGAAGGGAGGAATGCGCCGTGGAAGGCAGAACTTAGGTGAGCTTCGCGTGATGTGGTCTTTTTCCCCTTTATATATGCCCTAGACTTCCAAGACCACTAAAAAATGGTTGACCTGGTGTTTGTAGTGTAAAATCCTTAGTTGATTCGGGATTCAGCCTATAGTAATGGTGGTTGGAAGGCAGAACGGGTATGGGTGGGACGGGATGATGTCTTTGAGATGCTCACCCGGAACTTCTTGAATCCCATTTTAGTCGGGACGTTGGACGTTTGAAACCCTGCGCTCTTCGCCGCGCCGCACTCCTCTCCGTTCGTCGGCTAAGCCGGCGCAGTTCCGGTGTGGGGGAGAGCTAAGCCGTTGTACAACCAGACAGAGCTCATGAACCGATTGTTGAACAAGGAGTGCGACTGAACCATCAAAATCCAACAGGCCCTGGTAATAGGATAGACCCAGAAGATGATGATTTATTGCCCTGATGATGATGATGATGATGATGATGATGATGTTGTTGTTGTTGCTGTTGCTGTTGCTTTAGATGACACGGGTGCGCGTGAGACATCAAAGGCCCGGTAGAAGCAGAAGTTGGGACCTCCAAATCGGGTTCAATCAGTCACTGACATCTCATTGATGTACCCATACACTCCATGGGACTGCCAGTCCGGACTGACGCCCCAGACAGACCCCCTGGCACCACCACCCCCTGGCCGTGAAACTCGGCAGTCCGTCCTGGCAGTCCAAGATGGCGGTCGCGTTTGAAGTCAGGGGTATGATGTGACGGGGGTCATCTCCTGACTGGTGCGACTTGTAGGGAATGAGGGAATGAACCCCCAATAGAGGTTCCTTTGGATCCAGCCACCCTCATTCCCTACGAGTCGCACCAGTGAGTCTCCATGTTTCATCCTTGTGGATCACACCTCTCCTGCGGTGGCCTTTCGCTCGCTGCACGTCCAGGTGAACAAGGTCCAGTGAGTGTCGATGCCGGTGCAAAGCTCGCTCCCAGCAGAGGGGGGCTGGTACTCCCCAAGCCGTTTTTGGAGAGGGGCCTGGCACTTGTTGGAGGGACATGTTTGGAGAGAACTGCCTCTAGAATAGGTATCTCACAAGATCTCAGAAGCAAATGGGGCGGGAATCCTTCGCCGATGAACTGAACCACACTTCAAACTCATATTGTTTTAATAATGTTTTAATCCAATTGCATTCTTCTTCACCAGTCACAGGAAAAAGCATCTACTTTTGGCTCCTCTCAAAGCCACGAAGTCAGATGCCAAGTCCCATATCGCGACCTCTTCCGCGTGGCGAGTTGGATGAACAAAGGACTTGGAGGCAGTATGTGGCGATCGGGCTGGACAAGGGAATTGAGGGTTAGCATGGCTTACTTGATTGAGCCAATCTGGCAGGGATGGCAGGGGTATATACTCCCACCCTGTTGTGTTTTTGTTGTTTTACTTTGGCTCTAAACCCCAAAGTCGATCATCCGCACCAAAAGGCGGACGATGCGGGGGTTCTGAAGTGAAGAACTCAGAAGCCCCACAAAGGAAAAAGTTCAAGTCACAGGCGTCACTGGGAGCCAGAGTATTTTAATAATAAGATGATCGACTGTGACAAATCATCCTGTCACCTATTAAAGAACACGCGGCCCCCCCCTAATAAGGAAACCTCGGTCAACTTAATAGGTACTCGGGATTATGGTATAACCCAAAAGGACTCAGAAAGGACATGAAAGGACTCTCATGTGCCCAGGTGTTCACCTCACGGGTTTTGGACCTCCAACATGTAGTTCCATGAGTGTATGTTTCATTCCTAAATGGAACAGGGAGAGTGGGCCAAGACAACATTCCCAGAGCTCCAGAAGGTTCCGCACCCAAACAATTCATGATAATCCATGTACGGTATGGATTTTCCCACATTGGGGTGGAGGACCCGGAGCCAGACTGTGAAGAAGTCCGCCACGTCATCGCGTTGTGAATCCATGCGGCCGCCGCGACGGACGGACGCCGCAGCCACGAACGCTTCGACCGACCCGCCATCCCGACGACCCGTCGAGATCCAACGCCTCGCAGCGACCCGTTGCCATGGCCGTCGCACACGTGGATGCTGGGCGGAGCAAAACACACCTCCAGGCTGATCAGGTGTAGGCTGAAGCATACAAGAAGCCTCCTAGAAGTCCATAGACCAAATGTGTTGCAACAACTTTTAGCTGAAGTAAAGGGAGTCCCCTTTTTTGGGAGGTCACCCGCGAGAGAGAGAGAGAGAGAGACCATTCTTAACGCTGCTTGAACTCGCAGGGTTCACCTGAAGAGAAGACCACGAGCTGGACCAGTCCCCCCAAAAACGCAAAAAATGTCTTTGTTCAGGACATCTAGCAGGTGCCTACTCTATTCACTGGAATTTGAGTCCTAGCACGTCCCTTAAGACATGATTTTGTTAGGTCTTATGCAAGTCAGAGATGGACGGTTGCCTGGCAACATCCACATCCTGAATTTCTTTGGGCAAAGGAACCCCTTATCCTGGAAACAAGTATGGCATGGCCCCGAGACGAGGACCGTGAAATCCTCATATACCAAACCTAGGCGGTGCTATCCAGGAGGTTTGTGATCCATATCACTACCGGCAAGCCTTTTCATGGCACTGGCACCACTGCTTTCTCGGCACTCAGAAGGCATCCGAAGGCCGAGAAATGGCTAAGGAACGCATGCCATTGGACAAGAACATTCTGGCCGCGTGCATCTTGAAGGAGCTCCAGGCATGAGGAGCAGCGGTTTTTGGTCCGAACGGCATGGTATTGGGGGGCGTTGGAGAGCGGGATGGAGGGGAAGCAAAGAAGTCCATGTTTAAAGTCCTTTTGTCCAGTGGTGCTGTTTCTTTTTTCCAACCGCGCAAGGCAAAGGGCTCCGAGCAAGTTCAGGGCTGCTCCTCTGACACAGAGAGCCTTGGGACTGCAGCTGAGCGCGAGCCGCACGCGCATTGCGCGAGCGCATTGACGAAGGTGTTGGGGGGGTTCATGATGTTAAGCCCTCCTCCACTCCACGGTATTTCCCGATATATAAGACGTCCACTAATCCACGTAGCCATGATCATTCCAGGGAGTGATCCGGGAACTTGGCACAACTTCCCTCATTCCGTTGCAGCGGTTGATCAGACGACGCTTCCCAGATCCCATGACTGGTCGGAGGTGGAGAGCGCGAATGGACGGATGCCCTGCGGTTCGGGGGGGGGGGGCGAGGTTCATTCCCTGAAGGTGGATGGAATGGCCCCGGTGGAAGACCATGATATCCTCTACAAACCAGGAGGTGAACCCATGTGAACCCCACTTTCATCTTAGTTTTAGCCTTTCCTTCACTTTCGGTGTAAGGGCTCAACCGAGGTCTTGTAGGAGTACACATCCCAAAACCCTACTCAAGGGACTTGCATATATGTCCCTCCCATGCAGTGCAGGTCTTTTTTCAACAACGAGGCCACTCCTCCCGCGTTCCAGACCGGTCGTGTGACTGGAATCGCCAAGCTCGTGCGAACCGAAAACGATCGTGGCCGCGCTTCAGCTCGACCGAACCGAACGCGCGAACCGAGCGATCCTTGAGGACCCGTTCTCCCTCCGCGTCCTCCCATGTGTCACCCCGGAGCGACGACGGGAGCAGCTCACGTCTGGTGTCACCGAAAGTGCCGCTACTCCGCTGCAGGGCGGACGAGGGGAGTGATTGGGGAGCGATTGGGACGGTGGAAGAAAAGGAGGGGCACGAAGCATATAGGGCTCCAGTCGGAGCTAAGAAGGTGGGACTGGGGTGGGTTTGGAAGCTCCAAATGCCTAGGGGTAAGGGATAGGTTGATCTAGATCCTCGAGCCCGGACAGGACCCTTGTTTTGATATATACCATTGTTGGAGTGGTTGGTGGTCCAAATGATAGGTCACAGTCCGAGAGATGTGTCCAGCACTGCGGGTTTGGACCGGCAAACGTTTGGTGATGCGTTGAGCGACGTTTGGCCTTTGTCCCGCAACCAGTGACCATGGCTGCCATGGCTCCCGCAAGTGGTGAGGCAGAGCACAATTTGGGTTCTCGATGTTGGTCTCACCCAGACACGACTAATGGGACTGCCAGGACGGACTTGGGGTGGTGCCAGGGGGGTCAATGGGGCGGCAGTCCGGACTGACAGTCCCATGGAGTGTTTGGGTCTTTACTTGGGATGGATCCCACTGACTGAGGACCGGTGAAACAATGAGTTCACACCACATGAAACCATTTGAAGCTGCCGACCCAATTAAAACATATTAAAACCAATTGGATTGCAGATGTCTCCTCTCATTTGGTTGGAGACATCTGCAAGAAGACCCCAAATTTCTAGAAAGACAGATGACCCAACAAATGACGTCGGAGAATTCCTCCTGTCGGCGGCGAATTCCTGAGGTTGGCGCTCGCCCGCTTGTTGCCTGGCCAGACCGTGCCACCACCCCCCGGCCTCATCGAAACCTCAGAGGACAAAGATGCGGCAAACGAAGTGGATGTGTTGCGAGAACAGACAGAGAGAGAGAGGGAGAGAGACAGAGACAGAGACAGACAGACAGAAAGACAGACAGATGGAGACAGAGACAGAGACAGACAGACAGACAGAAAGACAGTGATTAAGAGGGAGAGAGAGTTTGGAAGTGTTTTTTTTCGGGTGTTTGTCGCTGTGTGGCCCATTCCCATTGTTTTACAACATGACTCAGTGTTGAAAGGGGGTTGACATACCTGAGATAAGTAGAATCTATCACCAGGAGATTCAGCTTGGTGCCACCTTGATTGGTAACTCCTGAAATTCGTGACGTCCTTCTCCCCTTCGTATGGGTTTTGCCGCGTAAACCGGTGTGTCCGGGCCATGGGGTGGTGTTTTCCCGTTTCGCCCTGCATCCCCACCAAGTCCTCCGCCGATTTGGTACCAAAAAACATAGGCCTTCGGAAACCATATATACCATACATTCCATGTATGGAATATGCCTACATTCGCCCCCCCAGGCCACCCCAAATGTAGGCATATACGGCATACATGGAGCATGTGGGTATATTATCAATATATATCAATGTCCACATGTTTCCCGGCCGGCCTGATTGCTTTTCACCATGGGCGGGGGGCAACAGTCTACTGTAACCTCCAGCTATCTTTGCTCTTCACCATGCAGCCAGTCACCTTGAATCAGATTTGTGGCCGGGCCGGCTTTCCACAAAACTTAAACAATAACAGAACTTGAGACACCAAGTAGACAGGAACTCCTTCCATCAGCAGACACCCACGGACTTTAGAGTGAGAAACTCATATACCAGGAGTGGTGTTTAGTCCCCAAGTGGATGGATACTATAGGCACCCCTAACCTCCATTAAGACCATTAAGCACCCCTTTATTGTGACTGCTGGTGCTGCCAGGACAGGCAGGTGGTTTTGGAACACCCAAAACCATCACGCCTCGTTTGAGACTATTTATAGACACCTCTGGGTGTCGGTATACAGCGCCTCGCTCCCTTCCCTGCTGAAGCCGGAAACGCCCATCAGGTCTTCGTGTTCAGCGCCACTGGGACCAGACGAACCACGGCCACGAACCGGAAACGCCCGCGACAGCGCTGCAGGAGCCGCAGTGGCAGTTGATGAACCCTACCGTTCCAAGCTCAGATCTGGAGAAGTGGGCATTTCGGATGACCAGCATGGACCAATTGGGTCCGGTCTGACGAAGGGTTTGTTGAGGCCTTGATAAGGGCAAGAGAGGCAGGTCAGTCGGTCTACGCTTCGGCCCCTTGAGGGGTGAAGGATGTCGCTCCTTTGTGGTTCCAAGCGTGAAGGGGAGAAGAGGCCGAACATTGAGGCTTTCCTAACAGAAATGTCAACCAAATCCCGTTCAGAAGTCCTAGTAGTAGATCTTGGGACCACCCAAGGACTTGAAGCATTTGTTCTAATTCACTTCTTTTCATTTGAGACACCGAAGTCAACGAAGTTCATCAAGTTGCAGCCTCCCGGATTCTCATTGGCAGCTGTCCGGATTCGCTGCGTTTGTTCTCCAGGGGAAGTTCAAGTCCTCCTGCGGCTGCCCCTTGGTCTCCCATCCGATCACCGCCTCTTGACGGGACAAGGGGGAGAGAACGGGACTGGTGCCTGGTGTGAATGAGAAAAAGAAGTAACACCGGTGCCACCAGAAGCACTCACAGTTGTTTTCCAACAGTGTAAAAACGCCTGGAGCAGGTTCACATGGATCCATGAATGAGGAGCATGGAGCTCTACCACATACAAGCGGCATTGCCAGCTGCTCCTGTGAACGTCAGGAAAACAAAGTTCTTGTCCCCTTGGCTGCCTACAAAAATATAGAGGACGCATGGGAAGGAACCAGTAAAATGTTCGTCCACACTGTGCACACCACTTTCGCCTTCCAGCAGTCCTTCTAGCAGGGTTGGGTTGTCGATCATTTGGGAGTGCGAAAGAAGCTCTGGGTGCTATTCAAGCCGCTGTTCATGGAGGGACTCTTACACCATTTGATGTAGATAGAGAAACTGAGACTGAGAGCCTCCCAATTTCGATCAACTTCCATGGTGTGATAAAAGTCGGGCAAGAGGTTTTGTTCCATCAACATGACTCTAAAGGAAACGAGTTAACAAAAACTTGAATACCCAATTTCATGCCTTTGGTCAACCCCTTCAAAATGTACCCGGACCCTGCTTTCAGTACCGGAAAATGGGACATGACCCGAAACCCAACAAAACATCAGCGCGTATGAGCGGCGACCAACTCTTCGTACCCCACCCAACCCCCCCTGGGATCGACTGACGACCCGCTGCGACTCGTTCGGACACGGAACCAACGGCCTGCCGAGCCGTCCGGAGGTGGGCGAGTTGAAGGATGTCCGGGTGAGACCTGGGCGGCAGAAAGCGCGGGGGAGACGGCAGAGCTCCAAAAGCGCAGGGATGCGCAGGAGTAACTGCAGTCCAGGCAAACCACGATGTCGCTGACTGGTAACCAATGGTTCCACTAAAACTATATAATACCTAGAACCCCTGGTTCCTTATATATAGTGGTAACTGGGATCCTGTTTGGGTGTCCTGTTGAGGTTTGGGCCACCATCCACAGTAACTAGCAGACTAGCACAGTGCTTGTGATTCATGTTCACCAGCCCAATGTTGGATGGTTTGGGTATGAAATTGGAGAAGGTGTGACAGGTGGTGAACTGGGGGTGTGGGAGTCCTATAGTTAAGTGTAGTTGGAGCACTTGGAAGCTAAACAATTCTCTACTTGATGCCCTTGACGCATCTTGACGCCTGTGTCACAGAACTGATCCAATATCAACCACTCCTTCTTTCTCTACCACCATCCCAATCTTCTATCTATACCCCGCCTGATCCCCACCTTTCCAATCCCCCCTCGCTTCGTCGCTTCAAATCCGCATGGCATGCATCCAAACGAAACACATGGCGCGCGCGCACGCACGCACACAACACGCACGCACACAACGCACGCTCACGCTCACGCACACGCACACGCACACGCACACGCACAGGCACAGGCACACGCACAGGCACAGGCACAGGCACAGCACGCACAGCACGCACAGCACGCACAGCACGCACGCACCCTACAAAAATCATGGCTTCCCAGTCTTTTTTGCCCAATGGTTTCTTCCCAAAACCGGCCTTTCGTGAAAACCCTCAGGATTTTCTCGCCTGGAAAGCTTTGGATGAGTGAGTACTGCCGGAACACCAAGAAGCACAAGAAGACTCAGGCGCCGGCATCACAGCGTTGGCGGTGCCACGGTGAGCAACCGGGATTTTCGTTGGAACAACTGTTGGAAGGTGTGAAAACGATGAGCTGCCTCAGCTGCCTCAGTGTAGCTGAAACGATTCAATCCCGGTTCCTTTCACCCTATATACAACCCACCCCCAAAACACCTCAGAAGGTACTTGGAGGTCTATAGACACGGCCCATGGGACTGGCATGTCAGACTGCCAAGAAACGGCCGATCGGGGTGGTGGTTTTAGGGGGGTCTGTCTGGGCGGCATATGGCAGTCCCAGACGGGTCGTGTCTGGGTCAGGGTCACCCTGCGTTGGATGTTCTTACGGACCAGTCAGGTGACAGAAGCCCTTCCAAAGTACGGCTCTTTGCAGCTCAAGCTGACCGATTCCAGTGCACCTTGGCTGATTCCGGAAGGCGAGGTAGGGTGTGGGTAGGGTGTGCCAGTCACTATAGGTGTTTCTAACATCTTCTAACTATAGTGCTTTCTGGAAGAAGGCGTTTTGCCAACTACATATACTACCAAGCTTCACAGCACGCCCTGGCCTTTCGTGGATCCTGGGTCCAGTCGCGGAAGATTGGTAGAATGGAGGGCCATGCAAATGATTGAACATTGATCGTCTTGATGCACTAACTTCGTACAAGCAATTTTGGCTGAACCCCTTTCCCCACACACCCTTCATTTTGCCTTCATTATGATTGGCCAGGCACACCCCGAGAAACAGGAATCAGCAGCAAGAATCCAGACAATTTCAAGTTGGTTAGGATATGTTAGGATCATATGTTGTTTGGGTAGTTGTTTCAGGTGTAAGGGTTAATCCTCAAGGTGGACAAAACCCAGTTGGACCATTTATTATTGTCGATCTTATAGATGCCATCGTTTGGTTTCTTTGGTCTTATTTTGGTCCCATCATCTCCAACGAGGCTTAGCCTCGTCCTGTTCAGTGCACAATGTCTCCCAGACAGTCGAAATGTCGCCCACGACTTCCAGTCAGCCTCTTACCCATACACTCCATGGGACTGCCAGGACGGACTGCCGAGAAACGGCCAGGGGTGGTGCCAGGGGGGTCTGTCTGGGGCGGCAGTCCGGACTGCCAGTCCCATGGAGTGTGGTGAATCCAAAGAGAGCGTTGATCGATGAAACTGGCAAGCTTAGCAAGGCCACCCACCATGCTGGAGTGGACGGCCTGTCCTGAACCTTCGGTGCATCAGCCCGCAATACGTAGTCGCCCAATATGTCCCTAAGATCGTCGAACCACCAATTCGTTTAGTAGCCGGAATCCGGACCCACATGGAACCACTACAGGTTTTGCACTATACAAAAACTAGATTCCCAGCGTGACCTTTTGAAGGTTCCTAAGTGACCCTTAGGAGGCTTAAGTGACCTCAAACCAGGTGATCAAGTACGGTCACTTTGAAGAACCAGATTCTAGATGAACCATTCTAAACATGGTCGAAGCTCCGACGGACTTCCAGGCGCACTGGTCTCAGATGTCTGCTTTGGTCTCGGTTTGCTTCGGGCGCTTTTGCCCGACGGAGCTCTCCGATGATTCCAATTGATTCCTAGCTCCGATGCTCCAGAAGACACCAGGAAACGCCATAATCCCTAAAGAAGTCCGACCAGTTTAGGCACCACCCTTACGTAAAGGAAGAATTCACTCGGATCACCGTTCGTCAGACCGTTTGAAACCATGGTCTGGACTCCCGGGAGTCGTTTGAATCATCGGATTTGGATTTGGATCCCTAGGGATCCAGTCATACCTTCTCAGAAGGTGTTTGGGGTGGCTGTGGAGGGTCCAAGTGTCATTCCTGGAGACGTGAACCCGCCTCCATCGCCCGGTCAACCGCCCTCTCGAGGTGTGTCGCCGAGTCTTCTTCGTCGTGGGTTCCATGCGGGTGGGGCCCATCACCACCGCACAGGGGCAAGTGACCACACAGGCGCCGAACGTTCGAAGAAGAACGGTTTTGGCCCTCGGTGAGGTGACCGGAGAAAACCTGGGGGGGGAGGATGGGGTTGAGCGGAAAAGTCAGGGATCGATGTTTTTTTGCGGGGCTTTGGGGTCAGAGAGGGGCCATGGAACACGGTCCATGGATGGTTTGGAAGGTGATGGAGGGGAGGGTCGGCTATCCCTTCTTTCTTTTTCATTCTCTCATCCATTCTCCAGGTCACAAGGTTTTTGGTAGGTCATGGGTTTCGGACGAGCAGGGAAGGTCCTTGCAGTCCGTGCTTTTTCAAAAGGTGGTGAATTGGTGACGCCAAAGCTCCGGGACCGGGGGATGGAACCATACGGAGTCGACTTTTGGGGGGGGTGTTTTGCAATACCTAGATCTTCCAACTATGCAAAATATATGCCTTTTAGTGTCGAAAACCAGCCAAAAGGCATACATTTTGCATAGTTGGAAGATCTAGGTATACTGCAGCCCCGAAGTCCAAAGACGATACTGTGACCGACTAAAGGTTCCTTCCCAGTCTTTTGACTCGCGGGATAGTACCAGGAGATTTCAGGCTCTGAGAGACACCAAGGTTTCTCTCAGAAGCTAGGCGCCTCGGAAATTCAGCCGATCAGCGGACTCCCCAGCACACACGCAACGGACATGGAAATAGAAAGCCCAGGAAACAGACAACTACCAAACAGCCCGACAGGTCCCTGAAGGGATTGGTTCGGGTCCGGACCCCTGACTCGAGGATTCGGGTACGGCCCTGGTCCCTGAAGGGAGAAGTCCAGGGTCGCGTCTGGGTAGACCTACTTTGGGCTCCAGTCGTACCTTCTTTTCGGAAGATATTTTGGGTGGGACCCGGGTTTTCGGGTCCAGTCATACCTTCGTCTCGCAGGAGGCGCCCGCCTGACGGGAGAAGGGATGGACCGCTCCAGCAGATCGACCGCGGTGTGGGTGTGCGAACGGAGTGTTCCTCATTCCGAAGTGTTTTCACTTTCGTCCGATGTCGTTTTTCCACTGCAATCCAAGGGGCTTCTTCCCCCAGATTCCAACTTCGATTCCACCAGGTCTATGTCATCCCGAAAAGAGGATCTGCGGTGGGATCGGGGAGCACGTTCGGGCTTGGACCGACCGAGTGCCGGACAGGCGCCGAGTACGTCGTGCGTCGTCGACCTGCGTAGGTGTGCGACCTGCCCGGCGACTGGCGCAATGAGACGCCCAAGTTTCAGAACCAACTGCCGATCCGGGCCACCTGGAAGGAAGAAGACGTGCCGTATACGGGGGTAGAGTAGAGGTTGAGCGTCTTGCGCGGTCTTTGAGCCAAAGGTTGGTCCTTTTTTGGGGTGCGTATTGCGTGGATTTGGGGGAGTGGCATGGTAGGTTAGTAGGCCGGGTGTGGGTGTGTGTGGTTTTCACGGTGTGTTTGGGCGTGGTGTGGTGTGAAGAAACACGGTGGGAGGAGAGCAGACTCAGATTGGGAGAGATGGACATGCATGGCTGCATGGGTCTTCGGATGTCTTCGGCATGTTTCGAGAAGAGCTTTTCGTTCTTTCTTTGGGAGATTGGTACTCCAAAACAAATTGGTCACGCAGTATTTCGTTTGGCAAACTTTTCAATTTATTCCCTAGGGATCCGGTCGTACCTCCTCAGAAGGTATTTGGACCCTCA